TTGTTTATCCATTTACCAAAAGTAAAATACACTGGTTAAGATACTTTGAAAACTTTTGCACATTCAGAGCCTTGCCTCTTTTTTAAAGTCCCGCCTTTGGTCTCTTTTAATCTATAGATTCCTCTTCCGTCCTTTTTTCGTTTTCTTACAAAGTATGTGTTGCAGAATCATTGAACTTGCAGCTTCCCGCAGACCGCATACCTGCCCTGGGCCGCTCTGCACGCTGGCCTCAGTCCTCCGTATTTCTGCACAACGGCAGCTGTGTTCAGAGAATGGTTCAGACTCAGGTTTGGTCCCTTGCGCAAGACTGTAAGAGACCTGTGTCTGGTTGTTTCCCTCACTGGGATCTTAGCAGCTGTTGATGCTTCATGCCTAGGTATTCAGCGGGGCTGCCAACTGGTGCTTTTCTATCATTCTTTTCCCGCTCAGAGTTGGAATACTTTTATTAAGATGCACTTCCCCTCACCTGTTATTTCGGTGGTCTCTCTGGTTCTATATTCTCAGGTACACAGTATACGTTCAATACAGTTTCGACCTTTTTATTTAAAGGGAATGTTTTTCTTGAATTACAGTTTTTAGCATTTGTTCTGTACTCTTGCTTTGGTGTTCTTCTTCAGGGGCCCCTGTTAATCTGTGTGTTTGATCTTTGCGTGCCTCGAAGATGCGTCACGTTCTCTCGAATCTTCTGTCTCCGATTCTTCATTTTCTCTTTACTTACACATCTTTTTCTTTATCACCCTCTATTTCTCTTAAGGTGTTTGTTATCTGTTGTGTTTTGTCCTTATGCTGCTTGTGGTCCAGTCTTCATTTCTTTTTTTTTTTTTAAGATTTTTCATTTATTTGTTTGAGAGAGAGAAAGAGAGCGCGCGAGCAGGGGGGAGAGTCAGAGGGAGAGGGAGAAGCAGACTCCCCGCTGAGCAGGGCGCCAAACCCAGGATTCAATCCCATGACCTGAGCCAAAGGCAGACACTTAACCGACTGAGCCACCCAGGCGCCCCAAGTCTTCATTTCTTTTCTTTTTTAAAGATTTTATTTATTCATTTGAGACACAGATACAGAGAGAGAGAGAGCATGAGCAGGGGAGATGCACAGGGAGAGGGAGAAGCAGGCTCCCCGCTGAGCCAGGAGCCAGACGTGGGGCTCGATCCCAGGACCCCGGGATCATAACCTGAGCCGAAGACAGACGCTTAACCATCTGAGCCACCCAGGCGCCCCCCAGTCTTCATTTCTTAAATAATTTCTCATTCTTTTCTGAATTCTTCATCCCATTTTGGATTTATGCAATTCTCTCATGTCTTATTTCATGTGCTTAGTGTATTTTCATTTTTAAATATGTTACGGTTTTGGTCTCTTTCTAACCAAGTCTCCGTGGTGTGCTTCCATTGTCTATAGGGATGTTATTTTGCTTCCTCTTGGTCCCTTTTCTGTTCATAACTTTGGATGGAATTTGGCCTTAATACTTTTCTATTGTTTGATTGTGAAATGATCCTTCCTGGCTTTTTGAATTAAGGCTATATTCAGGAAAGATTTTCAACCTTCACAGAGCCCTCTCTTCTGTTGCTTGTGTGTGGAGTTTAAAAATAAAGCAGCTTGTTTTCTGGGACTTCCTGTCTCTGTCCTTATCCTTTCTTGGGTCTCGGCCATCTCTTTCTTTCCTTGGTCTTCAAATTCTTGTAGTGTCTTACATGTTCCTACATTGCCTACAAAGACTCTCAAGAGGAATAGTCTCTCTTTTGCCTCTGTCCTGCTCAATTCTGCTTTTAGTCCCAGGTGTTTTCCCCAGTGTGGGGTCCTGTTCTAGAAGAAAGCAGGCAGTCTCATGAGCTTATAAGGGCTGCCCTGCTCCGGCCCTCGCATGAACCCACTGTTGGGAGAGAACAATAGTTCTCCCAGCTTCAGCCAACATTTTTAGATGGGCTGCCCCTCTTCAGTGATCACCTGTTGCCTATCTTGGGTTCTCCTGTTCTCACGTCTGTCATATACTACCCTGTTCCTTCCTTTTCCTCCTGCGCAGATGCTGTTCTCATGCCAGTTTTTTGTTTGCCCCACCTGCTTATATTTTGGGGTTCATGGTGTTACCTTGAGACCTACTTTTTTTTTTTTAAGATTTTATTTACTCATTTGAGACACAGAGATACAGAGAGAGAGAGCATGAGCAGGGGGAGAGGCAGGGGGAGAGGGAGAAGCAGGCTCCCCGCTGAGCAGGGAGCCCGATGCGGGACTCGATCCCAGGACCCTGGGATCATGACCTGAGCCGAAGGCAGACGCTTAACCATCTGAGCCACCCAGGCGCCCCGAGACCTACTTTTAAGTATTGTCTGGGTTTTTGGTTTTTCTACTGAGGGGTTGTTTTTATGGACAGATTTGGAGAGACTGAAAAACTAGGCCTCCACCACCAACAGCCTGCTCTTTTTGTGTTGAATTTCAGTTGTTTAATGATTTTGTCTTCAAATTCTAGCACTGTCTTATGTGTTCCTGTATTGACTACAGAGACCCCCAGGAGTAATACAATCCAGTCAACCACGCATATCCTAGAGCTGGCTTACAAAGGCTGGTAACTTACTAGGTATCTGGATCTAGAATCCTCTTAGCTTGGGAACTCCATACGGAGAGTTACTTCTTCCAGGAAACCGTGGTTATCACCCTTAAGTAGAGTTTCTCCCTTATTTGTACTTTCTTCATTATACCTCTCGGGTTTTGTGTGTATGACACCCCAGAGAACCGTGAGCTCCAGGAAGCAGGGACCATACACATTTCATCGCTGCATCCCCGGGCCCTAGCACAATGTCTGGTATGGGGACTTTGTAAATATTTCTGGAGAGAAGGAATTTGAGCTAAATGATGCTTGCAGCTGTATTACATAACCTAAAATATTTAAAAAATTATTCTTGGGGCGCCTGTGTGGCTCAGATGGTTAAACGTCTGCCTTCGGCTTAGGTCATGATCCCAGGGTCCTGGGATCGAGCCCCGCATTGGGTTCCTGGCTCAGCAGGAGCCTGCTTCTGCCTCTCCCCCAGCTCATGCTCTCTCTCTATCTCTCTGTCTCAAATGAATAACTAGAATATTTTTTAAAAATTATTCTTAAAAATAATTCATATTCAGTGTAGAAAACTTAGAAAATACAAAAAAAGAAAAAGAAGCATATAGAAAATATTTACCTACAATCTCATCCCCAAGAAAGAACCACTATTACCCTTTTGGTGTATTTCATTTTGTTGTTCTGCATATTTAAACCATTTAGTTTGAATAATGTTGTAGGCCATTTTAACCCGGTTTTTCAGGTATATTTGTGCATTTCCCCATGTATTATTCTTCCTAGCACTATTTAATAGTTGTGTATTATTTCAGTGTATGATAAAAGCAATTTCAGTACAAAATTAAAGGCATTTCTAAAACAATAAAGACAAGTTCGCACAGACTGCCTGCTGATATCGTGACATAACCTGCCCTATAATAACTGGAAACAAGTAGAAGGCAACTCCAGTTTTAGAACACATTCAGAGTGGCTGTAAGGGCAAAAAAGTTAATAGAATTAATGTACTCGACTCATTGCCAGGTGTTATTCCCAAATATTCCAGTAGGTGGCAGAACAGGTTAGCTAATGGTGGTTCTCAACCTTCATGGGCATCATCACCACCTGCCAGGCTCCAGTTGGGAGTTTGAGTCATTAGCCTTGGGTTGTGGCCCAACCATTTGCATTTCTAACAAGTCCCAGGTAATTCTGATATGCTGGACGGAAAGAAACCTTGAGAACATTGAATTAGAGGAAGTCGTTGTAGATCAACCCAAAGCACATTCACCCACACATCCATGCATCCCCATGTTCAGTTTACTTTGCACCGGTTTTATGAGCACAGGAAAGAAAAAGAGATTTCCTGTTCTCCAGACATAGTCTTGTAGGGGGGTGGGAGGGAGGAGAAATGAAGAAAATAATGCTCTGTTTATTACTTCTACCTCTCCATTTTTTCTTCCTGACATGCAGCCTTCATGAGTGTTTGTTTTTCTGATCCTGTCTCAAATAGAGTTCGAGCTTTGCGCCCTTAAAGCTTGAATGATCAACTAGTTCAAGAGTCGCCTTACATGGCTAAATCTGATGAACTACCAAACTCAAGAATGTCTGCTCTCCTAAAACTCTGAGAGATGAAAACTCTCCTCTCTGAACCCACCAAGGCTTGAGATATAAAAGCACACTGGACAACGTCCTCCCTGACTCTGCATGAGTAAAAACGAAACACTAGTATGACTATGTTCTTGGTATCTGCACTTGGTTGTCTCCTGGATTAATTCCCCATTTTAAATTTCAAACATATTATGGTTAATTTTGGAAGAAAAACTTGGCCCTGGATCGTCCATATTTTCCTTTAAATACTACTGATCACCTGCAATACATCTGCATTAGGAAAATATTAAATTAAAAATACAGTTCTACTATATGTCCAGTACTATTGATTAGCTCTCTTCTGCGGTTCTGGGTCTTACTAGACCTACTTTAAGAGATGATGCAGGGGTGCCTGGGTGGCTCAGTCGGTTAAGTGTCTGCCTTCCCCGCTCAGGTCATGATCTCAGGGTCTTGGGATCGAGCCCCACATTGTTGGGCTCCCTGCTCAGTGGGAAGCCTGCTTCTCCCTCACCCTGCAGCTTCCCCTGCTTGTACGCTCTTCTCTCTCTCTGTCAAATAAATAAATAATCTTAAAAAAAAGAGGGACACAATGCATATTTGTGACCTATCACATTAATTACTGGGATGTTAATAGTGATTGTTGATAGGTTTGCTTTCAACACATGCCTTGGGTTTAATTATTATTTCTAAATTAGTGATGCCTATATTAGTGAAATTTTATTTGTGACCTTAATTCATCTCAATGTTTCCCAAGTACTGAAAATGTAATAAAAGTAAACGGGTGAAAGATGCAGACAGAATTCAAAAGAAATACAAATATACATTAAAAAAATCTGTTTTCTGTCTTCACATAAAGACAAGAAATGTCAATTAAAGCAAACTTGAGATGCCCTCTTTATACCTACTAAATTGGCAAACATATTCAAAATAACCACTCAATCTTCCCATTGAACTAATTGCTACAATAATGAAAGACTTTATACAATTCTGCAAACTATGTAGGTTACATCAATGTAAAAGAAAATTATGGCAATACATCTGTATTTTCCAGTTAACATAGGAATTACCAGGTAAATACTGTTAAATTCTTTGTCCCACAACAAGAGTTGATTCATTTGGATGGTATAATTTATTATTTATTTTTTTAACCAAATACCTCCTCGGTAATTTATAATGGCTTTGCAGTAATGTGTATCAAATAAGCAGCACTAGGAAACGGATATGCATGTTGATGAATATGCATGTTGATGAATATGTAATAATAAACATATCTCTTATAGTTAATTTAAAAAAAAAATACTCAAAACTGATGATGTTGTGGTGAAACATTGCATTTAATCCAGCAAGGTGACAATATAAATCCCTTTAACCCCTTTGGAAAGCCATATGATAAATATGATGCAAAAGCCAAGAAATGTTCCTTCCTGGACACAGAGGAGGTTTCTGGGGAGCCAGAAATTACCCCTCTTGACTTTGACAGTCCTCAGACAGGTGTTTGCTTTGTAATCGTTCAATAAACTGTGTGCTTTATGCACTCTTCCCTGTCTGTGACAAAAAATGTTAAGAAAGAATTCTCCTTTGCTTTTACTGATGAGTCTTCTACTAGGAATTGTTCTAAGAAAATATGCACAAAGAAGTCCTCTGTAGCATTGTCTAAAAGCAAAACTGGAAGCTACCTAATTATCCACCCAAACAGGAACAGGTTAGCAAATTATAATAATAAAAGAATATTACAAAGTATTATGGTAAATGAAAAGACTTCAAGCACATTTTTGACAGCGCAATAAAACACAATGATCTGTCATCATATAAATCTATACTTAGGTGCATAAGGATGAGAAGAGAATATTAAAAATTGTTATGATACAGGAGCTCTGGAGAATTTTCTCCATAAATGTGTCTTATTGTTCGATGAGCTTTACCACAATGAGAGCAGAACATGTGGTTCAAATGCAAAGGACAGGAACATCCCACTGGCAAGGACTACCCATGTCTAATCACAGAATGATCATCAAACATTGTGCCTTTGCAAATGTTCTCAGAACAATTTAGGCATTTATAGGATATGGCAGAACAGGGGAATCTAAGAGGAAGAGCTGTGTATCATCGGTCTTTCATTCTGCTTCAATGCTCTGATACTCTCAAAAGTTAATGTAGCCCCTAAGATGATCCGTGGAACTTATTAAAATATCTTCCCAAGAACTTACTGAGCATCATGCAGTAATTCAACCTTAAACAGTGTTGCTGGGGAGATAAGGTATTCACCTGAATTTTGAGAAGTTTATGGAGCAAGGGTGAACGTTAATGGTTTGCCAACCGCAAAAGGTACAATGTGATGAACTGCCAACAGGTTGCACATCTCACAACCCTAGGCAAAAATGTTGAGTCAGGCTGAGTGGGAGATGTTGGTCAGCTGAGGCTCTAAAGATAGTGGGAGGTCAATGGGATCCTAAAGGCTGGCTGTAGGAGTGGGAGAAAGGAACTTGGGGACTTTTCCATGAGGATGGGAGAAGACCCAATGTGCAAAGTCAGGAAAAGAAAGAGCAAGAACTGTTTGAAGAGATGAGTCAGAACTCAATTATGGATAGGTTAATAAATCTAGACACCCCGTTGTTAATAGGGAGTCACTGTGGTTGTTTGAACAGAGAAGCCACGTGCTCAAAGGAGTGGTTGGCAAGATGCCCTGGAGGCAGGTGCCAACGGTTTGAAAGGCGCACACAAGTGGCGAAGGGGGAGGGGGGCCAAAGGGGGAGGGGAGCCGCACAGGTTTGGATGGAAGAGTCTTGAAGTAGGCAGAGAGTGGGACGGGAAACAAGAAAAGGGGGAAAAATCTAGGACCTGGGTCTGTGGAGGCTAACACTCTGGGCCCCAACCTCCTCCTCACCACTCACTACTCCTCCAAGCAATTAGCCATTTTCCAAGCTTCAATCTGCTCCTCTATGTAACAAGAGTGACAATCTGCCTATGTTGGTACTGTGGGGGATCAACGGTACAGGACCATGTTTGGTGAACGACAAGGAGTCCTACAAATTTAAATTAAGAACGAACCAACTATGGGATTGGCTGAGTAGAGGAGGCAGGAAGATAATCCCAAGATCTGGAACCTGCATTAATGGCACTCCCCTCCCGACGCCCCCCACCCCCCCGCCCAATTTGCACCTACTCATGGAGGTTGCCAAAATTCTTTCCTTGCATTTGACTTTTCAATGTATTGTTTTCCTGTTGGATCTCACTCAGAAATTGTTGTAAGGTTGGGCTTCTATTCTAGAACATGCAGAAACAGTAATTACTAGGCACAGAGCTGCTTTAGCTCACACGAGAGGCAGTTCCATTTCTAAAAACACATTCTAAAACGCAATCACTCTCGAAAAGTCCCATCTGAATTCACTGAGGAAAAAAAGTGAGAAAATACTTTTTTTTTTTTAAAGATTTTATTCATTTATTTGAGAGAGAGAATGAGAGAGAGAGAGCACTAGAGGGAAGAGGGCAGAGGGAGAAGCAGACCCCCCGCCGAGCAGGGAGCCCGACGTGGGACTCGATCCCGGGACTCCAGGATCGTGACCTGAGCCGAAGGCAGTCGCTTAACCAACTGAGCCACCCAGGTGCCTGAGAAAATAGTCTTAACTACAGGATGTATTTTTAAGGAAATGCAGCTTTATTACTTTCAAGTACAAACAATAACTTGGACTTGACTAACCAAACGTTGCCTAATTGAGAGAACCTGCCTTAATGTATAAGTATCAATGATTTATAGTTAGCACAATCACCATGGTAGAAGAATGCTCCCGTGATGCATGAAAATAACTTCTCATTGTATGGAGACATCTTGTCCCCCATTTGCTCCACTATCTGCCTTGGCGATCCCTTCTCCCCGCACCCCAGAGACACTTCAGATAGAAACTTCAGCTCTTTTCCCTAGATCACAACATACATCAAATTAGTGAAACAGGAGTTGATACATTTTTACCACATTGCCATAGACGTTGGATTGGTGAGACCAGCCTTTTTCAACCTGAGCATTCTCATCAAGAGCACTAAGTCTAAATTAGTGAAATACGTCTGTTCACAATGTGAATAGAGGGACACAATAATTGTGAGCTTCGTCATCTGAATTAATGATTTTCCAGGCTTACATATGCAAAAACATTTTAATTTGAGCACATTCACGAAGAGAAGTAGCTGGGTTTAAACTGCCATAATCCAGTGGGGTTACACTCCTCAGGACTGTGATACTAACCTGAAGCAACTAAAGTTCCCTGTTGTGCGGAAGACAAAGCACACTGAAACTACTTGGTGGCAAACATCCATCTGCACTGAGCATGATCATTCAGCCTGACTAGGGAGTGGTGCAGAGACAATCCAGGACTCTACTGGAGGATTTATTCTGGAAAGAACTTTCACTTTCCTAGAGCAGTCACAAGGGACCCTCTGATCGAACACTGCCAAAGATGGCTAGTGGGCATTTCTATCAAAAATGCTAACCTGCTCTTTCCATCAGACACTCTAGCTGGGAACTGCATAATTCACAAGAGGGTCTTGGTGGTCTTAAAAATATCTTAGCAAGCCCCAGCATAACCAGGTAGGAAGCCTGTGTCAAGGGGACAGACCTAAAGAGCTTCGCCCCTACCCCGACAAACTCTGTGTCCCTAAAGGCAAAGGTGACCGTGTGCCCTGCCCCAGACTGCATCCTAGAGCGGTGATCAGATTCTGTACACTTCCCTACTGAGAAAGGCACTTGCAGGCCACCTCGGCCCGTAAGAGGCCCAGCGGAGGAGGCCCAGAGACTGGTAGAGTGATAGTGGAAGATTCACCTCTAGGTTCCCAAGAAGCCAGGGCACACAGCCACAGCTTCAAGGAGCTGGCTGGGTTTGGCCAAAGCAATGTTGTAAAGCCCGGCTCCACCATCCTTAGCTACCTCTGTTAGGTCAAAATGCCTAACCTAACAAACAACTTTGTGTCTAAAATAATACTCTTTCCAAAAATATTTCTTTTCTCCCTAAGATGTTTTCTAAATGCACAGCAGTAATCACTCTCCTGAGAACAAACACTAGAATGATTACATAATCCTCATTCATACTTTACAAGTGTCTGCAGTGGCCAGAACGGTCTTTTTTAACTATGAAAAATGAAGTGCAATCCTTAAAATTTAATAGCAGTATTCCCCTACCTTCCACTTATGAAAAGCTATCCAAAACTGTGTACTTTCCTGTGGAACTTTTCAACGTCTAGCCCCACCCCTGAAAAGAAGTCTTTCTTCCTATTTCTCTGATACGTCTAAAGGTCAGCTTAGGGCCAATTTTGACAAATCTGACTTATTACTTCAAATATTGGCCTGGAGGAAATTACCTCCCTTTGGAATGTGAAAATGTCTCACTCACTCAGCTCTCCTGGACCCTCATCCTCACCCCGGAGCCTGAAGTTGTTTCCCTGCTCTTTATGAACCCGAGAGGAAAGGAGCCCTTCGCTTCCACCACACAACTTCACTCAAGAAATCCAACGCTCGTAAAAAAAGGATGGGGTCTCTGTGCTCATGACCTACAAATTTTCCAGAAATGAGAATGCTCACAAAAAAAGAGGAAAAGGCAATTTCCTCCCCTCTGAGCTAAGGAAGCAGCAGTCAACGCGCGGGGAAGGTAGCCCCCTAACGCGAAGCAAGGGGACTACGCCACTCCAGCTTCGGCTAGCCCCTACCCACTTCTCTCACTGACCCTCCACTTTGCTTTTTAAAGGATGTGTCAGCTTTTCATTTTCATAAAAACTGGCACTTGTCTGATTAAACCTGGCACCTATAAAGCTATTAAATAAAATGCTCAGGTCTAACAAAGGCCTCTGTGAGGAGGAATCAAAGCTAGGACTCCAGCCCCTGCCTCAGGTACTGCTGTCAACATGAGCTGCACCAAGCTACCACCAGGAGGGTAACTCCAGCATCCACTGAAAACTGAAATGGGACGTGCCATACAAGTTCCAGGCTTGTCATTTGAAAAAAAAAAATTTCCCACAAATAACTGTTATTACTTGCCCTGTGAAACTGCTGGATGTATCTGGAAGTGAGGTGGGAGTAGGGATGGTCATCCGATCAGTGATCTCAGAGATGTGTTCAGGTCGGAGGAAAAGGAAAAAGGCATTCGCCCTCCTCACGGCCCCACGGCCCCTGAGGCTCCTGCAAAATGGAGCCCAGCTGCAATTCCCAGTCCATTTCTGGAAGACCGAGCAGAGCTCATGCACACAACTCAGTGTGAGATGGACTTTGGGGATGGAGAAGATACTATTCTTTTGCCTAATCTCCTTAGAGTCCCAAGAGGACTATGAACTACACCTGTCCTTGAAACCGACCACCGATTCTCTAGAGTTAACTTCACGGCATTGGCTCCGTGCTACTGCGGATTCTGGGAGAGCTGGGTCTCCACCAGGATTGGTTTCCTTCCCAGCTCTGCCAGCAAGCCCTCTGTCCACCTGTGAAATGGATATGCTTTATATTGGCACCAGCAAGAATGAGTCGCTCACACTCCCAGGCAGAGGCTACAACTGAGGTTCCAGTTTGTGTGTTCATCTTCAAACTACTTCCTGTTGGTGTGCGGATGAAATAAGCCCCCTCACTTTCCTGTAACACAATGGGAAACAGGTGAATTATCCTGGGGCTGGCTCCCTCTACTCTCTCCCTAATGTCTGTGACAATTATGTTAAAACATTCCCACTGCTGATGCCAGAGTTACCTAACTTTACAAGAATGAGAGGCTGGAGGATACAAACTGGCAGCTCGTGGACACACTTTGTTTAGCTCACTCTATTTCAAACTATCCTCGATTAGCTGTCAACATGTTAAAAATCAGATTTCAAATAAAAATCTGGATTTCCACTTCCTCCTGAAAAAAATCCTAAGAGCTGCCACCACTGGGCTCACTTCTACCTAACACTCAGAGCTGAGTAACTGCCCCATTAGATGAGCTTTCCATGATTCAGCACAACCCTGCCCAGCACGTTCCAATCATTTACGTCATGTGAATGGCTGCCCCGGGCATTTGAGTCTGTGAACCTTAATCTAGGGCAATTCCTTCATTTTAAAGATGAAAATGAGGGTCCAGGGATAGAAAGTTAATCTGCCTGAAGCCACACATCAGATTAGAGGCAAAAGAGCAAGAAAAGTCAGGTTCAGGTGTCTTTCTTTCTAAGACCACCCATTCTGTCTAAAGAACCACGATTCCCCTTAGCATTTCATCCAGTTGCTAACATTTTCTAGGTGGAATCTGTTATATTTTCTACATTCCCCCTTTATCCATCCTTGTCATTTATCTGGTTTCCTTATAGATAATAACTTTGTACCAATGATTTCATTTAAGTATCTTCAACCTAAAAGAAATAATGAATCAGACAAAACTGAAATACCAACTTTTGTCCACACCTCAGCAGACACAGGACCAAACCTTAGAAATCACTTAGCTTAACACAGGCAGGGAAAATGGGGCCCAGGAAAGTGATATACTGAGGGGTATACTGCAGGGATGCTAGGTAACAGAGCTGGTCTTCAACCTTCCAGCTCAGTGCTCTTTCTACTGTATCCCATCACCTCTGTGCACTCACCCAAGCGGTGGGGGACTGAGGACCAGCTTGCTCCACATGGAAACAAAAACTCCAGAACTCCCTTACACCTCAGACATGGCCAACCTTGACTTTGCCGAGTACTAGAGTTTAGAATGTGTTGTGAACAATCAATTTATAGAACTTGATTTGCCCTGGAAGACAAACTTTCTTTAGAACTGGTATTTGGTGGAGAGTTCATGAATGTCACAGGACTCAGTGGTCTTTATAACACTGGCGGTTATAAAAGCTAAACCCCACGTGAGAGAAGTTGCTGGAACATCATAGCACCTTTGCTTCAACTTCAAAAGAAAAAAAGGCGATGGTAAGAAGCTTTAATAGACTGTGTTTTTACAGGCAACCAATTAGCAGATTAATGAACCATTTAACCTTCTTTACTGAAAACCAATATTCAAGAAAGATGAACCCCAAATGCATCCTCTTATACTGACCAACGTAACTAAGTACAAATGAAGTCAATGGTGTACCCCATTAGCATGCTGTGCTGTGTGTCAAGAAAACAAGCCCTCCCCCGCCCCGAGCCCTGGCCCCCTGGCAAACACAGATAAATGATTGTGCATTGCGCGATGATACCATTAGGTGAGAACTTTGGTTCATGCAGTCGGCTGCCAGAGAGGTTGCACTGAAAACCCGCAGCCCCGGCACCCAAAGTCGGTCAGCAGTGGTCAGCTCGTGGCATCAACCGTGCTCCTTCCACAACACCAGGTGAATACTGTGGTCAGGCATGCTGGTGGCAAAGACCAAGCCCGTGTCATTGTGCCCATCCAGTCCGTTGAGCCAGGATGCTTCACCCGCCAGGAAGCTCGAGCCTCTCTTTGATTTCCGGTACTCTGGCAGAGGCCAGCGGCTAATCAGGCTCTCTGTCCGCAAGTCCATGATGTACAGGTAGCGGTTGTCAAACAGCAGGGCAAAGATATCTCCAAAGCCAAGCAAGGCCAAGTTAGCTATCTCAGGAGTCTTGATGACCCTACAGAGACGAGAGTTAGGAAATATGAACCAGAAGGCAACTTCACTTCTGTTTCTGCCACTGTCATCTTTTCTGGACACACAGAAAAACAATGCAAATTCAAGAAAATTTAGAGAGCTAAAGGAAAGTTTTCCATAAAATGGAACAGACGAAAAACTAGGCTTCCTTAAGAAAGGGGAAGGGGGAAAAGCCCTTCACAATGACATGACAGCCCAGGCACGTAAGGAGAAAGGAGGCATCTGATGAACATTTCTGAAAGCACAAAATGCCCAAGGCTGAAAAGGATCTTACAGATGATCTCACTTAACATCTCATTTCCAAGATGTGAAAACTCAAGTCCAGCTGGCACACATACTTTGTCTAAGGATTCACAACTGGTCAGTTACCAGTAAGAACTGGGATGCAATCACTCTTACTACCAGGTAAAAAGATGGATTCATCAAATCTAGAATACTGGCCTAGGGGAGCCTCTTATGCCTGGAAACCAAGTGACTCACATACTAGTCTATTCAGCAGGTAGCAAACTCTAAAAACAGTAGAGGCTGAAAGACTGAAGTGTTCCTAAATAATCCAGAAACATTAATAATAAATGTGTCCGAAGTTGTTAACAGAAAACTCGGGGAGCGGGAAGACAGACAGCCTTCACTTTCCCCAAATGCTGATGACAAAGGCACAGAGAAATGGGAGAGATCCAGCCAAACAGCAGCATAAATGAAAAACAAAAACAAAACCACACAGTCTGTTGTCTGCACACTTAGTGAGGCAAAAGGCTGACAAGAAAAGCTGATGTCCTCTTTGGAGGCACTAGGAAGAGCTACAAGAGAAGGATATGCAAATTGTGCTCTGCGACAAGACAATAGGTCCGGGCCTCGTGACGGTTAACCCGAGTTCCAACAAGGACACTACTGTCTAAGAGGTCAGCCAGAACGGGCGTGGCCTGGTTACCAGGACAAATAAGGAACAGGTGAAGGAGATCAGCTGAGAGGGGTAGAAAAAGAATTCGCAGGGACAGGGAAACTATAGCTGATCATCACCTATAAATACAAAGTGAAGGATGTGTGAGGCCAGATATGACGAGCTCTAGAACAGAGAACTAGGTCCAAGGCAAAGAGTTACAGTGAAGCAGATTTCACCTCACGTTAGGAAGGGAGGGCATTTAGTCATGAAAAAGACCTGTTCCTCACACTCAAGTCATCCCAAACCGAACTTGCTGGCCAAACCTGTTTCTCCTCCTTACTTCCTGGCTTGTTCTTTCACCCCGTTGCTCAAGCTAGGAAACATGGCAATCCTCCAACTCTCCTCCTTATTCAAGCCACCAATTCAATCACCACCATCTATCGATTTTACCTCTTAAATTTTCTCCTACTTCATTCACTATTATCTAAATTGCCACGACTCTGACCCAATTTGTCTCTTTTGCCTGCACTGCTGCCAACAGTTCCAACTGGTCTCCCCACATCTACTCTCGGCCCCTTTCAATCAGCTAATCTCACCTTAAGATGTAATCCTATTACCACCTCATTTAACTTTAAACCCTCTAGGACTCTCTACTGCACTCACATCTCCAGCACCAGGCTCCTTCAGTCTCAGGGCCTTTGAACAGACTGGTTTCTTGGCGTCCAATGCTCCTTACTGCACACCCACTGCTGGCACTTAGTTAATGCAGATAGTCATCCTTCGGAGCTTAGCCCAAACCTCTTCTTCAAAGAGCTTTCCCTTACTCCTCAACGGGGTGGGGTCTCGAAGTACGACACACAGTGTGGCCCTCAGCCCAACCATGAAAACATCCCTAGGTAATTAGCTATTTAATGTCAATCTTCCCTTCTGCGGGTTAGTAATTTCCACCAGTGTGGTATCTCTACAGGCTCCCAGTGTAGATCCCAATACCTAAACACAGGTAATGCTCAATAACTACCTGCTAATGAATGCAGCAGTGGTGCAATGAACATGGGCACATAAAAACTCCTACAAAGCAAATCCAAAGGAAACTGGGAAAACAGCAAGAAAGTCTAGTAAGCCCCACGTCACCGACGCAAAGCAGGAAATAATCAGAACTTAGATAACTGGGTGGCTGGGGATAGGACTTAAGCCTGGTGAAGATGAGCCAACTCCGAAGACTGAAGCAAAAATATGTTGCAGAGGAGAATACAGGTCTTGACAGGCTCGTTGCCCCTTTAACTTTGATTACTTTAGAACTGTAAACAGACATCCCTGCTATGCAGTCTGGGCCCTTGAACTTAAATAACCCTGCTTGCTATACTAAGATAACTCAGCTCCAGAGATTGCATCATATCTTAGATTTATTGAGCAACATGCTACCATTTGCACTTTGCTTCTTTTCAGTTAGCTTCAAAGCCTAAGTAGCCCTATCTGATCTTAGCAACTGAGGCCAAAGGAGTTGCACTAAGATTTCAAAAGAGGCTGGTTTATTTGTGTTGCTGGAAGTGGGGAGGAGGCAAGAGATAAAACGTCTCCCTTTCCAAGAAATCTGAATCTAACACTTCCTGGCAGCAAACAATTCTGCAGATTTATTGCTCAAAGCTAGTGTACCCGAATCCCCAAAATTAACACAACTTTCATCTGGCTCTCTGGACTCTCTACACTCCACTCAGAGTAAGAAAAATACATACATGAGAAAGGTAGATGCAGGATCAAATTAAAACCTTTAGAAACTCAAAGCATTAAAAAGATGATACCTCTATTCCACCTTACTTCTGCATCCCTCCCATCCAAGCCTTAATTGAACAATAAAGGATGCCTGGGTGGCTCAGTTGGTTAAGTGTCTGCCTTCAACTCAGGTCATGATCCTGGAGGCCTGGGATCGAACTCTGCATCAGGCTCCCTGCTCAAGTGGGGAGTCTGCTTCTCCCCCTGCCCCTCACCCAGCTCATGCTCTCTCTCTCAAATAGATAAAATCTTTAAAAACAAACAAACACAATACTAAACTATAGAAAGTCTGATTTTCCCACGGTGACTACTTGGATTTTTGCGAAGTATCAAGTTCTTTCAAAAGTTCCTTCTCTCTGGCTTGCTGGTACCTTAAGCATATGACTGCTGGATGATGCCAGGATGGATGGATGGACAGACAGATAGATGGACAGACAGATGGTTGGATGCAGGACTAGAATGAGCTATGGGATGCTGGGCAAGGCCCATACCTGCTCTTGGCTTCATTTTCCCCATCTATAAAACAAAATGCTTAGACTAATGTTTTTTGGGATCTATTCCAGTCTTTTTTTTTCTCAAAGCATAATTATCAATCATATCTAGAAATGATTCTGACCGTTTGGAATCTTAAATGGTTAGAAATGTAGGTCTGATTCCAGGAAGACATAAAAGGGGTTATAACTGTATGACCAGAGACAGGACCCGCCAAAGTCCTGCTGGCTAGTATGACAGATACCATACAGCTGACCTCAAACAGTCATGCATAAAAACGACGACGAGGGCGCCTGGGTGGCTCAGTTGGTTAAGCGACTGCCTTCGGCTCAGGTCATAATCCTGGAGTCCCGGGATCGAGTCCCGCATCGGGCTCCCTGCTCGGCGGGGAGTCTGCTTCTCCCTCTGACCCTCCCCCTCTCATGCTCTCTGTCTCCCATTCTCTCTCTCAGATAAATAAATAAATAAATCTTTAAAAAAAAACCACACACACAAAAAAAACAACGACGACGAGAACGTTCAATTTTCTGTACTACTGCAAGTCAGCATTTCCTGAACCATGCCACAGAACACTAATTCTGTGAGGTGGTAAAAGAGGTGTTCCTCAAAAAAAAGTACAAGTGAGAGGTACAGTAGGTTAAATGAATTCAAGCAGGCTTCTTTATGTAGGGCTTCTCAGAGCTATTAGTAATAAAGATCGGCCAGGTCCTGTGCTTGGTCCTCATTACAGGTACTTCATTTGATCTTCACTTTCCAGATCAGGAAACTGAGGCACAGAAAGGTTAAGAAACTTACATAAAATCCTCCAATTTACAGGAGGTTGCGCCGGTTTTAAATCAAGGATTATCACCAAAATAATTTCTCTCTCTCTCTTTTTTTTTAGAGAGAAAGAGAGCATGCATGCCCGGGGTGGGGGTGTGTGGAGGGGCAGAGGGAAAGGGAGAGAGAGAATCCTCAAGCAGGCCCCATGCACTGAGTGGAGCCTGACATGGGACTCGATCTCACAACCCTGAGATCATGACTTGAGCCAAAATCAAGAGTTCGGATGCTTAACCAACTGAGCCACCTAGATGCCCCACCAAAATAATTTCTCTTAGCCACCATATAGCACTGGCTTCCATTAGCCTCCAACATGCTTACAGATACCATCAATCTCCAAGAAGGGTCTAAGGTATGCAATGAATCATAAAATTATTTGGCCATGGACCAGGAAAAAAACCCTCTAAGTTTTATTTTTCTATAAATACCTCTGTCTTTCTACTAGTCAACAAAAGGCCACTTGATCCCTCGATGCAGAATTCCACTGACCAGGAAGTAGAACTTAAAATATCAGAACTAGACATACAGATGGCCAATGGACACATGAGAAGATATATAACATCACTCATCATCAGGGAAATGCAAATCAAAACCATGATGAGGAGTGCCTGGGTGGGTCAGTGGGTTAAGCATCTGCTTTTGGCTCAGGTCATGATCCCAGGGTCCTGAGATCGAGTCCTGCATTGGGCTCCCTGCTCAGCGGGGAGTCTGCTCCTCCCTCTGCCCCTCTCCCTGCTCATGCTCACTCACGCTCTCTCTCTCTCAAATAAAATTTAAAACAAAAACAAAAACAAAAAACCATGATGAGATATCACCTCGTACCTGTCAGAATGGCTAAAATCAAAAACATAAGAAATAAAAAGTGTTGGTGAGGATGTGGAGAAAAAGGAACCCTCTTGCACTGTCAGTAGGAATGCAAACTGGTGCAGCCATTGTGGAAAACTGTGTGGAGTTCCCTCAAAAAGTTAAAAAAGAGAACTACCTTACAATCCAGTAACTGCACTACTGTGTATTTACCCAAAGAATACAAAACACTAATTCAACGGGATACATGCACCCTGATGTTTATTGCAGCAGTATTAACAATAGCCAAGATACAGAAGCAGCCCGAGTGTCCATCAACAGATGAATAAAGATGTGGTGTACACACACACACACACACACACACACACACACACACACACACTGGAGTATTAAACAGCCATAAAAAATGAAATTTTGCCATTTGTAACAACATGGATGGAGCTAGAAAGTATAATGCTAAGCGAGATAAGTCTGAGATACCATATGATTTCACTCATATGTGGAATTTAAGAAACAAAACAAACAAAGAAAGGGGGGGAAAAAAGAGAAAGAGAGACAAACCAAGAAACAGACTTTTAAGTATAGAGAACAAACTGATGGTTACTAGAGGGAAGGTGGGGGGGGTTGGGTGAAATAGGTGATGGGGATTAAGGAGTGCACTTGTCATGAGGGGCACTGAGTGACATACAGAAGTGATGAATCACTATATTGTACATCTGACACTAATAATACTACAGTGGTAACTATACTGGAATTAAAATAAGAAACTTTATAAATGTATCACTATTTTACTAAATACACATTATCGGTCTAAAATCTTAAAAAAATATATTAAAAAAAATGTATCAGAACTAGGGGACCTGAAAGATCTCTTCATCCAAGCCCCTCATCTTCCGGAAAAGCACGTTCAATTCTTTTTTTTTTTTTGGTGGGCAAAGTTTATTGAGGGCTAATAAAAAGCTCCCGAAGAGAGAGAGAACCCAAGAGGGTTGCCCAGCATGTTCAATTCTGAAAAGGGAAGTGACACAGTAAGGGGAAGAGATTAGAACCTACATCTTCTAAGCTCTAGCATAAAACTGTAATAATTGCCTCTAAAATATTTTTTAGGTGTGTGATTTTCAGCATATAACTCTGTTTATAACATTTCCCAGATTCAAGCTACTGACTGGTTTATCCAAATACTTAGTCTGGTCTTTACTATTAAACCACAACAAAAAACTAAACAGGAACAGACTGTCATAGGTGAAGGCTCAAAGAAACATTACCTGAGAATATCATAACTTGCGAAGTCCCACTGGTAGAGACCCAGTGCCGAACTACAGACAATGTATTTGCCATCAAAATGAAGTCTTGGCTGCAGGCAGATACTCCTATCTTCAGAGACAGACAATGTCTTTAAGCACTTGCAGTTGATTTCTCTTCCAATTGGCCAAATCTACAGATAAAAGAAAATTAGGGAAGATGACAAATCACATCACCATAGAAAAGCTTGTCCTTAAACAATGTGATTTGTGTTTGCCAAAGCCAGATAAAAAGTGAAGTAAATTGGAAAGACCTCAGGTTTTATAGTTGACAGGCATGGGTTCAAGCTCTGATGCTACATGTATGTACTGTGTGATCTCAGATAAAATACTTAACCTCTCTGAACCTCAGTTCCCACAATGAAGATACCTACCCACATGGAATAGTTTTAAAAATGCACTAAGAACATATATAAGAGTGCTCTGTAAAGTTTTTGCAAATTTTTTTTTTTATTACACAAGTAAATTTTTATGTTTTCATAGTTTAGGTCTGAGAATTAAAAGGGTATGAGATATGGGTCTTAAGAAAACAGAATGTGAAGATAAATTTCTGTGGATCTTTTTTTCTTCATTTACAAATCAGGGGTAGAAACTGCCTCGTACATACGGGACACCTGGGTGGCTCAGTCGGTTAAGCGTCTGCCTTCGGCTCAGGTCATGATCCCAGGATCCTGGGATCAAGTCCCGCATCAGGCTCCTTGCTCAGCGGGAGCCTGCTTCTCCCTCTAAATGCTGCTCCCCTCCGCCCCACTTGTCCTCAGTCTCTCTCTCTGACAAATAAATAAATAAAATCTTAAAAAAGAAAAGAAACTGCTTCATACATAGAAATAATAATTCTTTCCAAGGAATTTAAGATGGCTTATACTAAGACATTCCTGCTTCCCTTGAAATATTCCCCCTGTGCTGCACCATTTTAATTTTCTTGTATTTGCCAGTTTTCCTTTGATGAGGTGAATTAATGGAGGAGAAAACCTCACCTTGATCTCATATTTGTCCGCACTTAAGAGTATGTAGTCTCCAGGGCTGTGCAAAAGAGACTTGACTTTACACTTTTGCAAAACCACCTAGAAATATAAACATCCATGTTTCAGAATGATCCATTTAAAACTATTTCTATATTGCTTTTTTAAAAATTAAAATATGAAGAAGAGCCTGAAATGAGATGGTATGCTAGAAGAGCGAAGCTGTAATGCTACAACCACATTAGCCTCTAGTTAGTACAACCAGATTCTCTACATTGTCAGTAGGATCTAAAATTGCCTAGGGCGCCCAGGTGGCTCAGTTGGTTAAGCAACTGCCTTTGGTTCAGGTCATGATCCTGGAGTTCCGGGATGGAGTCCCACATCAGGCTCCCTGCTGAGCAGGGAGTCTGCTTCTCCCTCTGACCCTCTTCCCTCTCGTGCTCTCTCTCTCATTCTCTCTCTCTCAAATAAATAAATAAAATCTAAAAAAAAAAAAGAAAATTCTTTTAAAAATAAATAAATAAATAAATAAATTTGTCTAATGTTGGCAGCATTTAATTTCCACTTTAGTCTGGAAGCAAACATTAGGAATGATTTTAAAAACTGTAAAATGTGACTTTACAGAAAATGTGAGGAACAGGAAAGAAAACAGCCCATAGACCTAGAAGCAGATACGAATGATCGGTTTTCCTGAGCACATGCATTATAACAGAAAAAGCACTGGACTTGGGACCAGAATCTGCCATATACTGACTCTGCAACCTGGGGCAAGACCAGCTAGCATCTTTGTTTCTCAACTTCCTCATCTTTAAAATAGGGGATGAGGCACGTATTATATCTCATAACTGCAATGAAAATGAAATAAAACAATTAAATGAGGATGATGATGATATAATAAAAGCTAACATTCCATTAGCACTTGGGATAGTCTGTAAACATTTAGGGGCTATTTTTGTAGTAAGTCAGCACCAAGTGAGAGGGAGGCCAAGCTCACTTCTTCAGAAGTCTGGGTTGCAGATTCAACTGAAACTGACAGACGTACTACACACAGATGCCCTGCTGGGTCCTGTCCCATCATCTCATTCAGAATTCACAAGAACATTTAACAGATAAAACTCAGGCCCTGAAGGGACGAGTGACTTGTCTTAAGACATCACAGTGTCCTGGCCCCAAGTCCAATGTTTTTAACATAACACCAAATTGTCTTATGTAACTTTTCCATTTAAATAATTCAATGTGCCCAATACAGAACTGTGATAAAAGATACATTAATATAAAATGTACTATTCTCAGCTATTTTAAGTGTACAGTTTAGTGGTGTTATTGATCTTCTCACCAACTGTCCCTTTAGCTCCGCCTATTTCAGAAAAACACATTCACCCACCTAACCTAAAACCCACTGGGAGGCTCTTATTCCTCCTTCTTTGTTCCCCATGAGTCGGTAAGTTCAGCTGGCTTTCCCCTAAAGACATATCTTTCATGCATGATCTTCTCTTTCTTCCCTGCCACCTGGGTCCGAGCCACAGGTATCTTTTCCTTAGATTACTGCAAAAGCCTACTTGGCCTCCCTCGGTCTGTTTGTGCCCAACTCCAATCCATATTTTACTTAGCAGTTATTTTCTTAAAACATAAATCACACAGCTCCTTGCTCAGAACACTCAACTGTTTCCTACTACACGTATGACAACCAAATCCTTAACATGGCCAAGGGAAGGTCTACATGATGGCCACCTCTCCCATACCACCCCCAACCACAACACAGCTCCACTGGCCTTCAGGCCATCAAATGTTCTAGGATCCTTCCCACCTCAGGGCCTGGGCACATACTGCACACTCTGAAACACTCTACTACTCTTTATCCAGCTACCTCCAATTTCTTCTTCATGTTTTGTCCCTTCTCTCAAGCTCTCCCTGAATGAATTAAACTAGATACCTTCGAGACTTTTTCACAGAGCACCGCACTTTGTCTTCAAAGCACTTAACACCATTTGCAACTGTACATTTATTTGCGAAATTACTGTTTAATAACTATTTCTCCTACTGGGGTAACGTCTATGTCAAGCCTGGGTCTGTTTTGCTCACTCCTGTATCCTCTGTCCTGCACAGAAAGGAATGGGAAGCTCAGGAAAAGTGTTTCTGCATGACATTCCCATGATTAATACTGCATTTGATCCTCACAGCCACCTTTTTTTGAAAATGAGAAAACACCACAATATTCTTTTAAAGATCCCATACGTTTTTCTTTATTCCACTTGCGATTATTATTTTTTCAAGGTGAAAATTGCTTTCCTGATTAAAAAAGAAATATGCTTAACCTAAAGGGAAAAAAGCACCTACAATTCCATAAGTAATAATAAACTATAACATTTTGGTGCATAACACATTTGTTCAGAAACTGCTATCAGACTCTACAATGTAGTTTTTTGTCTATGACCTGTTTATTTGCTCCCTCTACCCACTGAATACACTGTGGGCATTTTTCCACGTCCATAAGTCATTCATTTGTTAAACTATTTACCAAGTGTCTTTTACTTGGCTAGTCACTGCTGCAGGCCATCGTGCATTGTGGGTACATCTGCTCCATCTTACAGCTCACCTACCACTTACAAGAAAGCACCTAGCATCCTCCACCCCACCCCCAGCTCCCTCACCCCTACAAAGCCTGATGTCAAGGAGATTTCTTCTGTAAGTCTTCCTACCTTGGTGACCCATTCCGTGTGCCCGGTGAGTGTGTTCAGGCACGTCCCAGCAGATAAAGCCCATACTTTCACAGTGAAGTCTGCAGAGCCACTCACCAAGATATCCAGTTCATCATTGTAGTCAACGCTAAACACTAGTATATATAACATACACAAAGTTAACACATGCCCCTGGGAGGGTCTTTCATAATAGAGTTCAATCACGTTCATTCTCCCTAGCTAACCAATTGTATAATTTCTCAACCAGAGATACTAAAAGAATGGTGCTACTCAACTAAGAATTTTATGATAAAAAACATACCATTTCAAAATTCTTGTTATTATTATAGCTTATTATTCTAAGGATGGAACGTCCCTGGAATAACAGAATCCCTTATACGTGTGCTAGCTTCGAAGTGAGAGGTAAAACCAGTGCTGGAGATAATGGCATTCCCACTCAGGCCTGCCTGCCATGCCACAAAACTAATCCAGCTCGTGCAGGGAAAATACAACATACAAAGGTGGCCCTACTCAGATTTGCACTATTCATCACGAGACAAAATGTCAGAATAATACCCATAATCAAGAAAAGCCAGTGTAATGAGAAAAACAAAACACACACAAGTATCTCAAAGGTCAGACTTAAGCCATTCTCTCCAACTATCTGAATTTCTTCACGGGTGTACCCCCAGCACCTAAAACAGTGCTTGACTATAGCAAGTACTCAAACATTTGTTTTTAAATGCCTGCCAAACTCTAAAGGAACACTGGGGACCCAGAGATGAAGACACTGGGCTTTTCCTTAAGGAACTAAGTGAAGGGTGAAGGAGGAGTCCAAAAAAATTAAATGTTTACCTCTTGCTAGGGAAACACCAAGGAGAATGACTAACTCTGCCCAGGGGTATCAGGGAGGACTTCAGGGAAGAGGCGATATTGGAGATGGGCCCTGAAGGATGAGTAGAGTTTGTCAAGAAAAGAAAGAATATTGCAGGTAGAGGGAACAGCAAAGGCATGGAGTTAGGAAAAGCCATAGCAATGTCAAGGAACAGCAAGGAAGAAATTTTTTGAGCAGAGCTCTTGAAGTTGATCAGGTATAAAATCACCTGGAAGTCAATGTACATCCTGACATACGGAACAGTACACTCAATTTAATATATACCATACTAAATCATGTATCTTCCAATATTAATTTCTAAAAAGCAAGTGGTAACAAATAGACTGAGGAAAAATGTATAAGAGGGCAAACAAAATGGGGAAAAAATTGTTTTCAGCAAAATAGCTAGGTTCACTTCAAAGTATTACTGAGCACCAGACACAATACAAGGAACTCAGGACCTCAGGGTGAACAAGACAGGCAGGATCCCTGTCCTCCTAGCGTGTATAGCCTGATGAGGAATCAGATTACCATACTTATTTGTATGATGAGTGTTATGACAAAATATAGGTTATCGGGGAAACCTATAGCAGAAGGGAGTCCAAGAAGACTGCTCATAAAACGTGATGCTTAAGATCACAGACGTGACTCTCCAAGGCTGAGGCAGTGGGTAAATGGAGGAAAGGAAGAAGGGAGCTGATGCACAAGAGGCTGGGAAACAGCTCAACATGATTTCTGCACAAAGCTCCAAAATACAATGCAGGAGAGTTTAGCAGCTCAGGTCTCAAAGCTATATTCAAATGACCAGTTTCTGCACACTAGGCCACTATAAAATTATTAGGAAATATTCACATATCTGTTTCCTTTATCTTATCTCTAGGCACTGGTTTATTTTAATCAATTGTCAACCAAGCTCCAATTCAACATAGTATGTGTGGATCATACAATCTGAGAACTACTGTCACTCCAAAGGATTTTGAGCCCTGATTCTACAAATAGAGTAGACTGAATTTACAAGTGTAGGACTTGCTCGATTTGGAGGTATGGAATCTGACTAAAGCAAAATGAACTGACTGTTCAACAGGGTATAAATGAAACACATAAGGAGAACCACCCCCTCCCAGCACAAGGGTACACAGAAGAGTTTTAAAATGCACGAAGGAAATGAAGCAAATGAAATAAAATGAAGCAAAATTCAGGAAAAAATTCCAAACAGGAGTACCTTAAATAAAGGGATTAATTGCTATGACTAAGAAAAAAGAGGAGGGAAAGGCAGGTTAAGTTAAAAACAAAAAGAAAACAAAACGGGGTCACATTCTTGGCTCCTGGTTTTAAGGAACGAGGTTAAAGTAACTGTAGAAACCCCTGAAAAAGGGCAACCCACCCGCCCCTGTGTGCCCCCGGAAGTGCTGGGTCCTGGCTCCAGAACTCCATTCCCAGCAGGCCACAGTGTTGTCAAAGGAGCCTGTCACAAGCTTCTGCTCATCAAATTTCACTGCTGCACAAGTGTGGGTCTGGATGCCATAAACGCACTGTCCTGTGCTCACATCCCACAGTTTTGCAGACAAGTCATCTGACCCTTCAAGAGAAAAACAGGGAGGTTAGTAAGAAACCAAACACTAAAGAAGGAAAGTCAATCCCCAAACCATGGTATTCTTCAAGTGGAACATCATCTTCCCCTCTTCTAGCATTTCCACTTCATAGCTGAGAAAAGCAAAGCATGGGGAGGGTAACGACTCACTTAGGGTCACCAAAGTGGTGTGAAGAGCACGGGGACTGAATGCAAGCTTTCTGGTTTAGTCCTTTTCCCTTAACTTCCAAGGCTATAGAGGAGTACTAGACTAAAGCATCCCTTGGTCCTTCCACTTAAAAAATTTCATAAATCTTTGACTATCATGAGCTTTCTGATTTGAGCTTGAAATGATGGGTATTACCTATGACTGCACGTATACATTTGCATGCCTACCCATAACCCAACAACCCTGAGCAAATAAAGAATGCTGAATAGTAAAACTGTCTGCTAGAATATATTCTACTCTAAGTCAAAGATAAGCCTCAGATCATGGGCTAACTTCTGCAAAGGCTAACTGCTAATTCCTTGAGCCATCCTGAAATGTGTAAAGGAACCTCTAAGAAAACCACTGATAAATTATTCCCAGACATTCATGACAACTCAACAATGAGCTTATAAAGCCTCTTAAGATTCTGCAGAAAAAAGTAGGTTTTATTTCTGCATCTGAGATTATACTGATCATGATGATAATTCAGGTGTAGCTTTAACTACGTTTAAAACTCTAATGATTAGATCAGCCTCACAACTTACCTTTATAACAAAAAGTAATAGTAAGAATTAATAAAGACGTCTTGAGAATACAAAAGATACAGTCATTATGACAAGGACATCGTATGCAGGAAAGCACCGAATGACCAGTTTTGGAATAGACAAAATGACTAAATAAAGCCAGCCACAATTCTACCTTTAAGGGCTGGTGAAAAGCCACTGTTTCACACAATGGAAAAAGACCACTTATGAAAGGGGTAGAGCATGAATTTCAACCTGGACAAACGCTAGGAGAACATACTGAAATGAAGATTATATTTGTTGTCACTCTATTTAGAGACTCAGTTTCTTCTTTATAAAATAAGGGATAGGACTTGGTTGGTGCTCCTCAATGGTCATATGAGACATCAGAATCATCTGGGTAGGGGCACTGGGCTGGCCCAGTCGATAAAGCATGTGACTCTTGATCTTGGGGTTGTGGATTCAAGCCCCATGCTGGGTGTAGAGATTACTTAAAAATAAAATCTTTGGAAACAGTGCTGTCCAACAGAAACATAATACAAATCATAGAAGTAATTGAGATATGTAATTAAAATTTTCTACTATTTACTTTAAAAAGTAAAAAAATATGTAATTCCATTAGCCCACTGTATCAAAATATAATTTCAACTTGATGTAACCAATATAAAATTATTAACGAAATATTTTATATTCTAAGTCTTTGAACTCCATTGAGTATTTCCCATTTCACATCTCAGTTTGGACTAGCCACATCTCAAGAGCTCAAAAGCCTTATGTGGCCTGTGGCTACTATACTGGATAGTTATGTCTAGATAACCTCAACTATACAACACTTAAAAATGGTTAAAATGATAAGCCTAGGTGTTCCATAAATATGTCTTAGGAAATGGCATGATTGGCTCCTCAATCTTGTATATATTTTACCACAATTTGATAAAAACAAAAAAAAGGGAGATTATCCTAATTATTTAAATTCATTTATATATGAAAACATTGGGCCATTCAGTTTTATACCCTAAAAAAACATCAGAGAACAATTAGCTTGACTTCAATTCCATTTTATAGTGTTGCAAGTCTACTCTTCACTGTTAAGCCTTCAGGAGCCATTATTCTCCCCTCCTGTTTAGTTTTATTTTAACCTTCCCTGTGGACTCCCATTCGCTGCGCTGACTAGCAGCAGGTCATCAATGATGCAACCCAGAGATGAAAAGGGACTAAATAAATGCAGACTATTTTTCATTATATGAAAGAAAAAACAAGCCCTCTCAATTCAGGAAAGATGATGAAAATAATACTTTGATATAAAAAATTACAGGGACAGGTACATAACAAAAAGGTAAGCAGAAAACAGAGCTGTAACTCAAATGGAGTAAACTATCGGATCAAGTGAAGTTTAAATATTTAACTGGTAGAATCAGATCTCGGCTCTCAGCTGCCTCTTGGGGGCATTTGACTCTGATGACCAAATGAACAAACATTTGCCACTGCCTCTTCGAGACAGGCAATTTTCAATGCCCTTCTTGAAACTCTTCATCACCATTCTGCTTCTGTACCTCTTCCTCCTCTTAAGTACACTCTTCAAGGATCCATCCTATTCTTCCATCTATCCTTCCTTCCTATTCCATCTATTCTTCTTCCTCTCCATCTCCTTTTTAAATTCCCCTGTTCTAGCCAGAGCTGTAATGTGGCTAACCCCTCAACCTTTTGCTCTAGCTCTGAGCTACATCCTGAAGCTCTGATGTTGCATTTCCAGGTACTTGTGGGAATCTCCACTCACATCCAACTGCATTAAGTTCATCCCAAAGTGAACTCCCTCTACCCTCTCGAATTTATTCCTTCATTTCCTATTCTTGTTATTAGTACCACCAACTTCCCAGGTGTATATATAGCTAGAAATCCTAGTCATTTTTTAAATCAACCCTTTCCTCGCCACATACTCAATCCATTGCCAAATCCTGTCAATTCCATTTCAATGGCTGCTCTTCCATTTAACTGCTCCTTTAAAAAATCTCTACCCTTACTGTCCTAAATCTACATCTATCTACTCTTACCTAAACTGCAACACCCTAATACTTTAATTTAGAAACTCTACATTTGTCTATGTCAGAGGGTCTCAACAGAAGTAGTATCATCTCCTAAGGTAACATTAGGAATGTGTAGGGGTGATTTCAATTGTCACAATGATTTTGGGGCAGGGGGTGAGGGGCATTACTGGCCTCTATCGAGCAAAGGCTGGAAATGCTAGACATCCTGGAATGTTTGGGACAGTACACAAAAAAAATTGTCTCGTATTTTGCACGACCTTGTGAAGATTCTGCCCGATAGTCCTTTTTTTGTTTGTTTTTAAAGATTTTATTTATTTGACAGAGAGAGAGACAGCGAGAGAGGGAGCACAAGCAGGGGGAGTGGGAGAGGGAGAAGCAGGCTTCCCGCCGAACAGAGAGCCCATCGCGGGGCTCGATCCCAGGACCCTGGGATCATGACCTGAGCTGAAGGCAGATGCTTAACGACTCAGCCACCCAGGCGCTCCGCTGCCTGATATTCCTAAGTGAAAAGCTTATCCTTAGTTGTCTGAGCCTTGGACCTGTTTTACAAAGCATGGAGTTTATTCTAAATTTTTTGAGTGTACCAGGTAGACTGAGGAAAAACGTACTTTGCTTTGTTGGGGACTTTATTAAGAGCTTTTCACCACTTGAGGTCACATCACTGATGGTACAAATACAACATTCTGCATTTAGAGCTGTCATGTTCATAACAACAGTACATACATAGGTGCAAATTTGATTACACTTCTGTCTTCTAGCACAAATGTGCTTGAGCACAACACGTTTAATGTGTACTACTTAAAATTACTGTCTTTTTAATTTCTGCTCTGGATCAAAGTTTAGGTATTACATTAATTTTCTGAAATATGTGTATGTGCAGATAAGTTATTTCTATGAATTTTACTTCAAGGTAAGAGAATATTATAAAATATGTTATAAGAAGACCTGGGTCTGACAGAAGTAAGAAACACTGGTCTACTTGGAAGACAGCTCTGATACTGGCCCTTTTTCAGCTCAGAAATCTTTCATATTTTTTTTCTTACTACTCACAGAAAATTGTCCAAACTCATGTTCCCAATATTTAAGGTTTTTCTAATACACCTCAAGCCAATTCTTCAGCTTATATTCTAAGAATCTCATAGAGTCCCTACTTATATCCTGAGTTCAGCTAAAATGAATTTTCTTTATTTTCCTCCTATATGCTCCATGCTTTCCTTTCCACACCTTTGCTAATGCTGACCTTACTACTGGAAAGTGCTTATTCTCATCTCTCTAATATCCACCCATTCTCTAAGATTCAACATAAATACTGCTCAATTTTTGCAAATGGAGGAAATCGATCCTTCCTCTGAACAACTGTATGATTTGTTTTCCTCATATAATTCAACTATATCACCTGATCACACCTCTTTTATAGCTATTATTTTTCTTATTCAACCAACTATAAGCCAAGGTCACAATATGGCAGCTTGCAGACTCACTATGACCCAACCATAATATTTTAAAAATGTGAATAATACTTAAAAATCAGTACACTAAAAAAAAAAAATCAGAATATTGCACAGAAATCTAGATTTGGGAATTCTCTTACTATCAGATCCGATCACTCTAAGCTTAGATCCCACATGACAATAATTCACTACACCCTCCCTAGAAGGGCAAGTGCTCTCTGATTAGCACAGTCTACACGGAGACTTTTACTTAATCAGGTTACCTTCTAATCCCAGTGTGTACTTTCTCTGAGCAAAGAACTGCCCTAATTCATCCATGTATGCCCTCACATTGTCTTTCACATAGAGCTCATTTTATAAATACCTACTGGATGGCACAAAGCACAACAGGTTCCTTTCTTAACATTTCAGAACTAAGCAGAAGGATAACTATCTAACTAACTATACTACGTTAATTTTTAGCATGAGCCATCAATCTTTTTGGCAATACTATTTTATTGCTTGTTCAAGGGGCTAATCTAAAGATGTCACTGTAAACTTACTGCCAAATTCAGAATTTCCCAATTCAACCACAGAGAAAACACAAGCTCTTCAGTAATAGCATGAAACAAACACATGTATATTGGTATAACAAATACTTCTCTCACTGGTTACGGTCCCAGGGATGCTATTAGAAAAATTAAACTAATGCTTTGGATTATTTTCAATAGAGCATAATTTTCAATATGCAAACCTGATTAATTTAATCAGAGTAAAAAATACAAAATATAGACCCACCTAGAAAATAACCTTAAAATGCAGGGTTGGGTTCACAGTTATTGTAGGTATTAACTTTCCAGGTAGTTAAAGAATTTCAGTGAATGTGTCCCATTCACTTCTGCTTCAAGTAACTGAAGTTTTACCGCATTTCAAAAGTAAAGTTTGATGAGAATTTTTTTTTTTAAAGCTCGATGTGGTTCTGAAAATGAGTCAACTGCCACTATTTACCTAAGTACAAATGAGCACAAATCTCAAAGGTAATACTGCATCTTAATCTTTAAAAACTACCTGCCATTGATCATAAGGCAAAAAGGACAAAGAAAAGCCATCACCCCAAATGGGAAAGTACATCAAAATATAAAAGAACGGATGATGCTTTTCCAATAACCTGGCTTATAGGACAGGGAATAACATGAGCATGGAGTAACTTCAGGATGACAAACAAATGAAACCACGAAATGCCTTAAATTTAATGTTTATTTTATAAAACTGGCAAGTATCTAGCATTTCAGAGAATATATCACCACATGAGAAAATGTATATCCTTGAGAAATCATCCATCTCAAAAATATTAAAATTGATTCTGGTGGAACGCTCAGAGAGAAGCAGGTTATTTAAAACTTTGCTGTGGCCATGGCACCAATTCAATCTCTCTGGGAAGGACAGTAAAAGGAGCTTTAAAATCATTCATATTTCTGGATCTGTGATTCTACTTTGAGGCTTCTGCCCCAAGTAAATAATTCAAGGGAAAAAAATGCAAACAAAAATATTCATAAAAACAGAAACAATCTGAATATGCATTAATATTGAATTGGCCAAATAATGATGACATATTTACACAAAGGAATAGTATATGCAATTTAAAAAAGGCCACTATTTAGAAGTTATCTTGGGGGGGGGGGGGGTGCCTGGATGGCACAGTTGGTTAAGCATCTGACTCTTGGTTTTCGGCTTTGGTTGTGATCTCAGGGCTGTGAGATCGAGCTCCGTGTGTGGGGCTCCACGCTCAGTGTGGAGTCTGCTTGAGATTCTCTCTCCCTCTTCCTGTACCCCTCCCGCTTCTGCTCCCTCTCTCTCTCTCATAAATAAATATTTAAAAAAAAAAAGAAGGAAGGAATTATCTTGAATGAAGAAAGAACACCAAGTATCCCTAAATATTATATACAGTGAAAGTGAATAGGCATTGGGATCATTGATAAGAACTGCCTGGAACCATTCTAGACATTGCCTAAGAATTACTTACAATGCCTATCAAAATGTATTGCCTAAAACATGTGCACTGATTATAATTATGCATAGAAACATATGCTCATTATAATTAGAAGATATACATAATTACAAATTTTAATGATTATTTTATTTGTTATACAGTTACTTAATTGCTTAGGGTTAAAATATCTAACTTTGTTTCCATGCCCAAACTCAGATTCTAATTCTTCTTAGAACTACAGGAATTTACAGCACAAGACAAATACCTCCCTTCCCATATTATACAGACAAGGAAACAAACACAGAGAGGTTAAGTAATTCTTCCAAGATGATCTAACTACTCACTAGGTCTAGACACCAACTTTTTCACTGATTTTTCTCAAAAAACATTGCTGACAGAAAAAAAAAATTTTAACCAACACGGAGAACCGTACATGGAAGGAAAAAGCACTGAAAAAAATAGTTACAGCTTCCTGATTCACATCACATTTAAAAGAATGTCTGAAGCTTTCTTCTCATACAATTTTATAAAAATGATTTGTTTCCTAGAAGGAAAGAGAATAAATGCAGGTAAAACCACTTAGGGATGGGGGAAGGGGGAATGCAACTACAGATATCTCATATAATTAATACTTGCCATCCTCAAGCCTAAGGAGTCATTTGTTCTGTTTCTAAGATTATACCCTATGAAATGCAAAACAATAACAAAACCGTTCCAGGATCTCTTACCTGTACAGAGAAGTCCATCTTTATAGTAAAGTGCATACACTCTGGCACTGTGTCCAATTAATGATGAGGTCTCAAAGGCTTCATGGTCCTCCAGTTGCTTCATTCTCAAAATAGCCTTCAAATAAACCTTCTTCCAGTGCAAAGCGTCCTGAACAGAATCATCTATCTGCCAGCCCAAATTTTTACATGCAGTCTGCCACACCTCTGTACAGGCACTTATCACCTTATTCCACTGTTTAGAGACGAGGCAGCATGTGAGTAAAGTCTGAGGATCGAGCCATTTTAACAAATAAAAACTGAGCTCCAGGGGAAGGAGTTTGAGGAAGTCCCGCTTGAGGAGAGTCTCCAGGTTATTGGAGAGATGCCTGAGCTGGACTGCCCCACTCAGACTAATCAGGTGATCCAGAGTTTCATTTTTCTGCAAGTCCGTCAGAGAAAGAAATGTAACAGAAATGTTATCAAGCCATGTCTCAAAGTCCTTTCTCTCCATAAGGTTATGGAAAAATTTACCTGTGGCACATCAAAATATTGTATTAGTTCTGCTCAAAAAGACTGTTCAAGCAAGACTGCTAACAAATGAAAATTAGTGTAAAAAACTTGGCATTACAACTTTATGCAGAGTTACTACAACTTTACAGTTAATATACTGCATTTGAAAATCTTCCATGCACACAGAGGAAAATACATTTGAGAAAACATACTTTTAATAAATCATGATCTCTGAAACACAAGTCAGTGAGACTCATGTAGGTGTATGTGACTTGCTCCTTTTGAAGTCTAGCAAATGCTACATGCATCTTCACAGTAAAAGATTTACAAAGTATTCATTCATTATAAAATAGTTTATTCTACATAATATACTTCTCCCCACCCACCCCCATCAAAACCATCATAACACTACTTCCTTAATATACACTCTATTTGGGTACTAAAATCACAAAAATAAGCACCAGCATGTGACAACCAGAAGGCAAGTCTCCTGAGCAGTAACTGGATATATTAGTTATCATGCTAGGCACAGCCTGACCTGTTACCAAAATCACAAATCTGACTACTGGCTTTTCAACAGATGTTCAGCCAAAAAGGGTTTAGGGAAGAAAAATAAGCATATGTAATAAGTTATGTGGCTCAGGTATTCTGGTTCTTCTACTTCCTTTATGGCACTACCTGTTAGAACATGAATTACCATAGGCCTTACGTGGCCTCACACAGTTTTTATAAGCCTCGTTATGAGCTGGTGACAACTCCTAACCATGTGCCACACAGAGCAATGAGGGTCAAGGAAGCCTGCACAAATAAGTCAAATGAGTGATCCTGATGCTTCCAAAACACCAAAAAACCAGGTAGCATCATGTCCACTTTGCAGAGGAGGAAGTTAAAAGTCAGATAAGGTAAGTGATTTGCCTGTAGTCAACAGAGCCATTAAAATGGCATCAGAACAGCCTGGAGGTCAGTGCTCTCACCATCAGTACTCTTCTAACCACATCAAGCTGTCTCACCCTGACAACAGCTACAACCAGGAGCATCATAGGCTGGTCATAAAATCTGGAGGCACTGTAACTACCTGATTACAGCACCTTCTCCTTTAGGAGAACGACAAATTGCTCCAGGACTAACTGGAACAAAAAAAAACCTTACAAGTATACAGCATTACATACTGTGTCAAAGTGTCAACCCACTTTTAACAAAAGGGTCTAAACTAATGAAAAGAAAACAAAAAATGAAGCAAATCAGTAAAAACATCTTTCCCAAGGTTGGCTATATGTTGATACATGTTAGTGCTGGTGATTGGTACATGGAGGGTTTTTTATTCTCTTTATTATCATATGTTTAAACATTTCCATAATTTAAAAAGAAAACCATCTTTCCTTCTAACCTGATCACTTATTCTCCCACCAGACTGTCATACTAATTTTAAAAATTTATATCCAAATTAATGTGGAAGAGGAAAATAAATTCCTTCCCATATATGTCTTCTAGGTCAGGTCTACATCAAAAGCCAGATCTCATCTTTCAACTTTGTTCATGGAGGTCAGTAAAAATCATTTCCATTAATTTCCCAATACCAAATTTGGCAAGAATGTTATCGGACACAAAAGAGTAAAAGCAACCAAACCTTCCAATCATATCATCTCCTATCTCACAGTTTGGTTTTGGGAACAGTGAATGAACTTTAAAATAATATTTTGGAATCCTCCGGGTTTGGGCTAGGTAGGATTTATTAGTTTAAGGATTTACTTGGCAACCAAAAAATAGTTCACCAAAAGTTTTATCAACAAAACAAGCTAACAAGCCTCCTCCTTCTGAATCCAAACAACATTTTAACATTTCTGGAAATTTTTTACTATAAAAAAACCACTCACAGCAAGACAAAACAACCGTTTTCTGTGGACATTCACAAAGTGTCACAACAGCTAATTAATTAATACTGGCCAATTAAAAACATACACCAAAACATCTACCCAGGAATCACTTTTTACAGTGAAAAAGTGTGGAAGACTTCCTCTCTCACACCTACACACACACAAGTATCCACACATCCATCACAGAAATGCTTATTTCCGCTTATAAGAAGCTGAATTATTAAATGACTACAAGGCAAATTTATAATACCCATGAAAACGTTATCAGGTTGCCACCATTGACAACAACTAAGAGACATCCTACAGAATGCCAAATTAATGTACTCATGACACCACACAAGATTATGGGACAAACTTTCCAATGAGCACCTTTAAAAAACTCAGCCATTTCTGAGATTCAGATATTCTCTTAACCTCTAATAATTTTTTCCCCAACTCGGCACTATTAAAAAAACACCAGTTTTTACTTTTCTAAAAAAAATCAACTGACTTGGAGGGAACTTTCTTAAGGTCACAGGTCTAAAACGAACCCTTTTAGAGAGCCTCTAGGAATATCATGTACTGGCAGCACAAGGTCCAAATGGGACAACTTCAGGAAGCAGGATTTCAATTCAACAGGAGCTTTCCAATAATTTAAGGGCTGTCTCCAGAACAGTGTGAGGTTCCCACTGCTGGGAAAGTCAAGGACAGTTAGAAACAGAGGCAGAATGAGGTAAATGAAAATGCTCTGGAGTCAGTCAAATCTTGTACTGATTCAGCTACTTCCTATGGGATCATGGGCAACTTTGACCAATTTCTAAACTTCAGTTCGGTCATCTGTAAAATGGAAGCTATTACTCACTTTGAGAGTTATGAAAATCAGAAATAGGGCAAGGACATCCTTCACACAGTCTAAAGCTAACTCACATGGTATTTTTGTTAGTTTTATCACTATGAATACCTGCCAGGAAAGCTTATAGTAGCCATAAGGCTGGAACAGATAGGACCACTAACATCCCTTACTACCCTATGATCCTTATCATAAAGTTTCCCTTAAAATGGCTCAAAATATATGGAGGAAAAACTCAAGGGCTCAAGCTTACTGGGATTTAATTTTATAATTAAGGGCAGGTATTGACTTGAGGCTAGAATTTCCCACTAGGTGCATTTTTGTCTCTACCCACACTTCATTCTGTCTTGCCCTTTTTCCCCCAATTCAGATTAAACATTAAACCTGCCCTTCTGCCCTCAATATTAACAATCACAAGGCTCCGAAATGGGTGGTGTGATGAAGACTCCTAAACTGGAAGATGGGAGGTCTGGGTTTGGTCTCTAGTTCTGCCATTAACTCCATATATTCCCTTAGGCAACCCTCATATTTGTATTGGTTTAAAAGACTCACGTACTATTCATAGACACTACTTCATCTGATTATCAGAACTTCATGGAAAGTATCAGTACTCCTGCCCTTAACTAATAAATGAAGAAATTTATGGCCTAAAAAGTAGAGTGACTTTCCCAGGGTCCCATAGGAAGCAGCTGCTTAACATCTTTCCCAGCCCCCACCCTCCCAAAACAAAACAAAACCTATACCCCTAGGTTTCATTAGAGACAGCCTTCTGGATAAAACATCGCATATGTGTTTTCCTTTTCTCCACCAGGACCTGGCCTAGTTAAGAATGAAAGCAAGACATTTGTTGTTGGAGAGGAGGCTTCATCTTCCCTGCTTCCTTATGAAACATTATCAGCAGTTATGGTACAGAGGTTTTGAAAACGTGTATTTATAAACATACACGTGCCTGGTATCTTTTGACTATTCAAGAAGCTGGTAATACTGGTTGCCTCCAGAGAAAACTAGACAGCTAAGGAATAGGCGCGAGGAGCCCTTTCTTGAATTTAAAACCATGTGAATATACTGTTTACTTTAAAACCGCCTTTAGTTTTAAGATAAATAAAAACAGCTCGGAAAGAATACAAATAGTGCTAAATACAAGCTCTGCAACTCCACTTGTTGCTGAGTGACCCTGGGGAAATCACTTCACCCATCCCAAGTCCAATCTCTTCACTTGAAAAATGCAACCACGCACAGCATTCCCTACAAGGGTTTTTGTGAGGATTAAGTCGGATAATGCACGTAAAGCGTTTAGCACAGTACCCGACACACTGTAAGCCTCCAAGAAACGCCAGGTACCATTATTATTTAGCATTAATATTGTTATCTGTATTGCAAGCGGCACCCCACATGCACACCTGTTTCCATCGCATACCCACAACTATGGCGCAGTCCCTCACATTAATACAGCGCTTTGTACTTCTTAAACCACCTCGCCACACTTCATCATCTTTCAAAGTCACGGCAGCCCTGGGACATCACTGTTAACTCATTTCACAGCTAAGGAAACTGAGGAACTAAGAGGCAGTAACTCCGAGACTCAATTTTCCCAGATCCCTTATTAACTCCAGATCCCTTCAACCCGTTCGTCGCTCCCAGGGCCCCTGCTTCCAGAGTCGTGTTCCGCGCAGCACTGACCTGAGCGAGCGCCCCGGGGCCCGGGACCTCGCGCCGGGCTCACACCGACTAGGCGCGCTCGGGCCGCCAGAGCCTCGCAGCGGCCGGGTCCGCTCCGCAGCCATGGCGCCTGCAGGGAAAGAAACACAAACGGCCCGAGGCGCGGCTGGTCAGCAGAGGCGCGGGCGCCTGAGAGCCCCCTCCTCGGCCCGGCCCCGCCTCAAATACAGACCTGGACCAGCGGCCGCCGCTCGGGGTCTGCAACCTCACAGGGGAGCGGCTTCCGGTGCTGCCTGCGTCATCTCCGCGCGTCCCTCCGCCCGCGGCGCCCAGCGGACGCGGGTGCACTTCCGGCCCCGGCCTCCGGAGGGAAGCGGGCGGGCGGGGAAGAGCGCGGAGAGGGGCGCGGAGAGGGGCGAGCATGCGCACTACAACTTAGACCTGTGGAGCCTCGTCCTAAACTTCTTTCCGTGCTGTGTATCGGAAATGTCTCTCGTCCGATCTGACCTTGCACTGTGTGGCACTTTTTCTTATCCTCTCCTTACGGAGGAGAGGGAGGGAAATTTCAAAGACGTGTCCACAGTCAAACAACCCATCGAGCCACCTATTATTTCCCAAAAACTGTTCTGGGAGATAGGGTTAATGAGCCAAAAGCACAAAAATACCCGACCGCCTGGGATTTACGTCCTAGCGGGGAGGGAGACAGATAAATAACTAAACAAGGTATGGTGCAAGTCTTAGCAAGGGCTAAGGAGAAAATTAAGCAAGTGAGGGGATGGGTGAGCGAAAGAACAGTCAGGTGATCTAGATTCGAATCCCAGCTCTGAACATGCCCATGCCCTACTTATTTAACCTCTCTGGATTTATTTCCCTCTATTGCATAGTAGTCATAGTACCTTCCTCCTGTGATCCTTCCAAGGACTGAAAGATGAAGCATAAATCTTTAAGTGTCAAAGAACTAAAACTGTGCTTCCTATGTGCCAGGCACTATGCTGATCACTTTATGTCACCGCGCTCAATTCCCACAGCAGCCCTATACGGTAGTTACTATTATTAGCTCTGTTTTTAGAGATAGGGAAATCGAGGTCAAAAGGCATCTTGCCTAAAGTCTTAGTAACTGGCTATCATGGGATTTCAACCCAGGCCCCCTTCAGAGCATAAATTCTCCTTGTCGCTCTGTGAAGGCTCATAAACCGCATACACGCACTCGTATCTTACACCAGCACCATCCGATAGGATTTTTCAGCAAGGATATTCTCTATTTGCATCGTCTAATAGGGCAGCCACTAGCCTCTTGAGACTATTGAACACTTGAAAATGCCTAATATGACTGAGGAAATACAATTTTAATTAATTTAAATTTAAATAGCCACACGTGGCTAATGGCTACCCTGTTGAACAGACTGGTCCAAGAGATAGCACATTGTATAGACCATAAGACAGTCGCATATCCAGTTAGTGGTGGAGAATGGCCAAAGGTCCAAGCATCCTGGGTTCATCTAGTGTACTTGAAACATGGGAAATAAAAATTTGACTACGTGAGGTAGAAGTCAGGTATGATGTCTTGAAAGTCAGGTCTGGGAGAGCAAAAGGAAGCCTCTGTAGCCAAAGAGTGACTGATGACAACATTATAAGAAAATTTAGGAAGACAGGGGTATGCAGATCAGATAACCTCTATGAAAGGGAAGGCAATGACAAGATAATTAAGAAAACCAAGCACCCCTATGTGTCTCAATCCCAGTGAGGTAGGAGTTTGATGAATCAAAGTGAAAATCCCAGATAGAGCTGCCTGGAGATAATGTTGTTTGACTTTCCCATGGACAAAGAAACCAAACTGTCTAAGTTGAAGCCAAGAGGAGATCTGGGAACAAAATTTATAGCTGAGAAATGAAAATTGCAAAATAGGATTTGTATTCAATTAAATACAAGACCTATTTAATTGCTAAACTTAGAATGTATTAAAAATTTCCTTTCACTTGCATTTTTTTAGGTTAGATTTTCCCACTTTGTAAAAATTTCCAAGATTACATGACAGTGGTTGAGAAAACATAGCCAACTTTGAATGTAATGAGATTTTCCTGGCTAAACAATTACCAGAAAAAATGCTGTGAGTAGCAGGCAGGAAGATCAACATGTGAAAAGACAAAGATGAAATATAGCCCTGCCTGAAAACAGAATGCTCAATACAACTGCTTATATGACAAGAACATGAAAATATGCTGAGTGTTGTTTCTTTTCTTCAACTTGCTGGTAGAAACAGTGTTTGGAATAATTCCTGCACATTCATGCCCTAGGAAAATGGCAAACATAAACCAAACCTCACCATATGATGTTTCTTTTGGGAGAAAAAAATGCACCCATTAGGGATGACAAGTATTCCTTGATGTTTAGTATATGTCTTGCATGTGCATAGACCAGGGAGCAGGAACTATTCCAATTGTTTAGTTTCTTGAGAGCACTCCAAAACAGACTGTTCGACATTTCTCCTTGTGTGATGATGTGTGGAGGGGTGATGTAGGTGAACTGCTCTTTCAACTCCCACACTTACTTCACCAGGAATTCAGCATAAAGGCAAGGGATCAGTTTCAAGAGGTACACAAGGTTGGGAGCATTTGAATAGGTTTGTGTTCTCTGTTCTTTGTTCTGGATTCACCCTAGCTGTAACATAATCTGTACTTGCTTTCCTATGGAGCCAGCAGGTATTCTGGGACAAAAGCTCAGGTTGATTAGGAAGAAACTTTATCCTTAAAGTCTCAGACACAAAGTACTTTACTTCAATTGCTGTTAGACTGGAATGATGCTGAACTACATTTGGGCATCATTTGGCATCTGGACTCAATAATTTCCAAAGCCCTGAAATTGCTCACAGATAACATGCAGGTAAGCTCCTTAAATCTTTGAAGCATTTGATATCTATTAAAATCTTCTCTGTGCAAATCATCAGCATTGAGAAAATGGAAAGGAGTTCAGATTATAATTGCAGGGGTTCATTTTGTTTTGTTGTTCTTTTCCAATTCAGTAGACGTAGAGAAGGAAAAGATGAGAGTCAGGATTCTCAGCGGTTAAGAGTGAGCTTTGGAATTTCACAGACTTGAATTCAAATCATGGCCCTACCCTTTGTACTTACCCATTGAGTGATCTTTGACAGGTTTTGAAACTTGGATGCTTACCTTAATTTTGAAGATAACCTGAAAAGGATATTACCAGGGCTAAATGAATTAAGGCATGTAAAGTGCTTAGCACAGTGCCTGGCATGCTGCAAGTGCTGGATAAGAGGTTACTGTTATTACGAGAAGCTTTGTCAATCGAAGCTCCAGTAGAAATTTAATTCCTTTAATGTTCCCTTTCTCTGTTATGTTACAATACTGTATTTACCCTTCCAGATGGAAAGTTTCCATCTTCTTTGATGATGTGGAGTAAACTTGGCACAGGTCCATCCTAGATCTCCAAAGGGGTGCCATGCAGATAGAGGGAACTTGTCCATATTGATAGATGTGTCAGATGGATTAGGGGACATTGCCAAAACAGACAATGTCAGAATTCAGTATTAGATTAAATTGGAAAGTCATACTAGAAGGATGTAAATGTTTGATAATAGCCATTGTTCACTGGCCAACAAAAGCAACTATTTCATGGAAAATTAGCCCTTGACCTTTATAATTAGAGAAGAAACTGATCCAAATGCTTCACTTCCAGAAAGAACATCATATATTTTCCTATACGTTTTTAGCACAATAATGCCACTTGCTACTTTGTATCCATGTGTCTATGTCTGATTCCTCTTTGCTTCTCCAGTGTCTAACACAGTGCCTTGCATATAGTAAGTAGGCTTTCATCCAAACGAGGAAGAAAACAACCAACTAACATTTTATTCAGTTCCTACTTCATACCAAACACTAAACTCTGCAGCACTGGAGAAGAGAGAGGCATGAAACCACCTGTCCAAGGGGCCATGATATAGTGGGAGAGACATATAACAAAAATAAATTAAAAACCCCTAAAATAGTGTACTTCTAAGTGCTGTAAGAAGTACTTATACCATTCAGTGGGGGCAAAAACAAGAATAGAGTTGAAATTTGAATGAACATGTGTTTTCTTCTTATTTAGGTGACATTCTGCAGACTCCGGACTCACCAGTGGTGTTTCATTCTATTTAATGTTATCCTATTTCATGCCTTGCTTTTTGGGGCTGATTTTATGGAAGAATACTTTCTGCATGCTTTGCCTTATGTAGATATGAAAGTTCTTGAAATAAAGGATAAGGCAAGAAAATTGAACGTGGAACCCCTAAGAAGTAATCTTTCCAAATATTATATCCTGAGCCAGTCGGAGGTGTGTAAAGGGAAGAATATATTTTTACTTTCTCTTATCTTCAGTAGCCCAGGAAATGGAACAAGGCGGGACCTCATCAGGAAAACCTGGGGTAACGTGACCAGCGTCCAAGGGCACCACATTCTCACACTGTTTGCTTTGGGAATGCCTGTTTTGGTAACTACCCAGCAAGAGATAGACAAAGAGTCCCATAAGAATAATGATATAATTGAAGGAATCTTCTTGGACAGCTCTGAGAACCAAACCCTGAAGATCATCACAATGATGCAATGGGCTGTGACTTTCTGCCCTAATGCCCTATTCATTCTCAAGGTTGATGAAGAGATGTTTGTCAATCTACCAAGCTTGGTAGACTATCTTCTCAATCTGAAAGAACACTTTGAGGATATCTATTTAGGAAGAGTTATCCATCAGGATACACCCAACAGAGACCCTAATAATCAAGAATTTGTTCCTTTTAGCGAGTACCAAGAAAAGTATTACCCAGATTACTGCAGCAGTGAGGCCTTTATTATGTCCCAAGATGTGGCTCGGATGATGTATGTGGTTTTCAAAGAAGTACCCATTATGGTTCCTGCTGATGTGTTTGTAGGGATTTGTGCCAAGGCCATTGGCCTTATTCCCATCCACAGTTCAAGGTTTTCTGGGAAAAAGCACATCAGATACAACAGATGTTGCTATAAGTTCATTTTTACGTCCTCAGAAACTACAGATGCTGAAATGCCCCTGGCATGGAAGGAAATTAGCAGTGGGAAAGAATGTACCCTGTTTGAGACTTACTACGGGCTCATTTCCTGCAAACTTCTGACATACCTTGACAGCTTTAAACGTTTTCACTTGAGTACCATGAAAAACAATGGCATGTATTTTGGTGATTAGGAGGGTTTTTGGTTTTCTTTTTTGCTTTTTCTTATAAATGTCTTATTTTTAAATTAACTCATACCTTGTTATAGAAGGCATCCCTCCTTCCTTATGTTTATGTAGTTTCTCTTAGCAAGTTGCAAAATGTTATTAGTGCTGTGATGTACTACATCATATTGAG